TGTGTGAGCTCAGGGGTGCAGGATCCGTGGGGTCCCGGAGGCCGAAATCTCACCGCCTCCTTGGGGTGGAGGTGGGGCAGCCTTGGACACCTGTTGTCAGGGACGGGAGTGAGGGGGAGGCACCGTGGCGGCCACCTCTCTTCCCGTCTTAGGGGTTGGGCAGTGGGGTACAGACCCCGCTGCCCTGACTCCCGCCTTGGTCTCTCTCCCCTTGTCTCTGCCATTAGTCTGCCAGCCACCCCACCTGTAAGATGGTGAGTATCCTCCGGTCGTTCCCCCCAAAGGCCCAAGCCCCTGGCCAGAGGGAGGGCTCAGAGGGCAGAGTTTGGCATCCAACAGCCTAACCCTGGGGGCACCCCCGTGCAGACGACTGGGGCCTGCGACCAGCTGCACACACCCCTGCTGCCTCCCAGCTCTGTGTGCCAGGCGCTCCCCCATCAGCCCCGGGGATGGGCACTGTTGGTCCCCTTTGGCACGCACCCATTCGTCCTGCAACATTTATTGTGCACGTACATCTGTGCACACCATTCTGGGGGTGGGGATGTATCAGTGAACACACAGTCTGGGCTCTCAGGGAGCACACCTTCCAAGAGAAGGCACGAGCCTCCGAATTTGGCACTGGTTAGCTCTGATTCAAGCCCAGGTCTCGGGCCCAGACCTGCCCTCCGGGGCCACAGCATGCTGTCTCCCCATGACTGTAGTCCAAGCCTCACTGGCATCCTGGGGTGGGACAGGGCAGATGCCAGGCCCCCACAGAGCCCAAAGGAACCTCACAAGGTAGCCCAGCCTGTCCCCCGGAGGACAGGCCCACCTGTGTCCCCCACTGTGTTCACACTGAGCCTCTGAGCAGCCTCCTGTGGGAGTCAGCCAGACTCAGAGAGGGGCAGGGGTGTAAAATTTCACCCAAAGAAAGCACTTCCATGACTCAGAACATCTGTAAGAAGGGCACCGGCTTTTTCCCCTGCCAATGCCTAGCACAGGGTTGGGCACACAGTAGGTCCTCAAGACCTACTTTGATGGCAGTGGACCAGATCTATCTACGTATTTAGGCCTCAGCAGAACTCTGTGATGGCAGGTTACGGACAAGCAGAGAGAAATGACCAGCTCGAGAGTGATCGCTCGGCTCGTTTGTTCATTTCTTCTTCAGTCAACATTTGTTGAGGAGCTATGGCGTGCCACTGTTTTATGCACCAGGACTGCCTTGATGAACAAACAAACCAAAACCTCTGGTCCTGTGAACCAAGCTAGGGCAGACCTTGGCGTGGGATGGGGGGCAGTGGTCCAGCCAGCAGCACGTTGCTTTCTACCCACCCCTCCCTCCCCGGGGCACTGCACCTACGGTTTACAAAGCGCTCCCACCTGCCTGCTCCTGGGCACAGGCCTCCATCCCCTAATCCGACTCCATCCTCTCCTGGTTCCTAGGACAGTGTCTGCCCCAAACATCACCCACGGTCAGGAGCGTGGCGGGCTTGTACCCTTGGGTGACTTAATGTGTCCTTTGCCCACTCTGCCCAAGACCCACCACTTCTGCCCCCTCAGCTCTCTCTGGATCCACTGGGTCCCGCGTGGGACTGCCCGCTGGCCTCCAAGGACCTGGAGGAAGAGGAGGGCCCATGGGGAGGAGGCGCTGGCCTGCCACCCCCAGGCTGCTTCTCTGGCTCCTGGCGCCATGACGTGGGCCTGGACTGCAAGGGCTCCCTCGAGGGAGCGGAGGCCCGGGCGTGGACCGTCTACCACTATAGCCTCCTCCAGAGCTGTCTTCAGCAAGCTGGCCTGCCGGAGACCCAGGACCGCAGCCAGGTGCCCCGCACAGGTATCCGAGGGCTCCGTGGAGGGGTGTATCCCTGGGAGGGGGAGGGAGGCACCCTCAGCCCGGCCTGCTTCCCATCCCTGTCAAGGTCAGCCCCTTCCCCCAGGCTCTGTCTGGATCTGAAGCCAGGGAAGCCAGGCCAGTAAACTTTGGGCAGGCAAGTATTGTTTCAAAGGGCATCTGGCACCAGTAAAGCAGAGATCCAGACTTCCCTCGTATCCCAGAAGACCCAGCCATGGGATTTGTAATCCATGTTCTGTGGAGCGAAACCTTCTATAGAAGTGCCTTGGGAGCTGCTAACAGTTGGGACTCGAGACCCCTCCCCTGCTTTATCTGTTTAATATACTAGATGGCCACAAAGGTTTTGTGGACAGAGGGGTTCGCAGGTAGAAGACATGAAAATCACAGACTGGGCTCTCCTGGGGATCACACACTGGGAAACTGAGACATGGGGGCCCTGGGTCACAGAGAAAGTCAGTGTCAGAGCTCAGGCTAGAACCCAGGTCTCCGGTCGCCCAGCCTCCAGTATCTTCCAGGCCAGCTGCAGAGAGAAGGGAGCCACCCTCATGGGGTGGGATGGGCAGGCAGCGCCCCTTCTCTCTCCAGTCTCTTCTCCGTCCTCTCTACTCTTCTCATCCCACTCTGGGAAGGACTTGGGGGCCTAAGAAGAGGGCAGGGCTATGGAACAGGGGAGGGTAGGCAGAAAGATATCGGGGGGAGCCCCTGTTGAGCTTGGCCACATTCTTTCCCCTCCCGAGGCTGCCCTGGTGCGGAGGTGACCTTATGCATTCTGGGATCCCCCAGCACCTTTCTGTCCGTGCTGCTGGAAGGAGGGGTCCAGAGCCCGGGTGAGTGTGTGCCCAAGTTCCCCCACCCCCTCCCGTAGAAAGGGCAGCCCTGCCCTGGCCCGGCCACATCCCAAAATACCCACTGACCCTGGCAACTGCCTGCATTCCACTGGGCCAGCTGCCATGCTCTGAGCGGGGGTGGGTTCTGGGAGCAGCTGCCCCCTACGACCCGGGGTCCCTGGGCTGGAGGTGGAGGGCTTGGGGGCATTAAGCCTTCCCTGGCCAGCAGCCGTCCTCCTTCTGCCCGCAGGAAATATGCTCCTTTGCCTGTCCCCTGCTTGGCTGATGAAGGTGCCAGCACCTGGGCAGCCGGGCGAGTCGGCCCTGCTGGTCTCCAAGGCCGTGAGCTTCTACCCGGGGGGCTTGACATTCCTGGATGACTTTGTCCCCCCACGCCGGGCCACCTACTTCCTGGCGGGCCTGGGGCTGGGACCTGGCCGGGGTCGAGAGGCAGCTGAACTTGCCCGTGACCTGACCTGCCCCACAGGAGCCTCGGCTGAGCTGGCCCGGCTGCTGGAAGACAGGCTGCTGACCAGGAGATTGCTGGCTCAGCAGGGTGGCGTGGCTGTGCCAGCTACCCTGGCTTTCACCTACAAGCCACCAGCACTGCTGCGGGTAGGGGATGCCAGCCCAGGACTACGGCTGGTGGAGCTGAGTGGCAAAGAGGGCCAGGAGACACTGGTGAAGGAGGAAGTAGAGGCCTTTCTGCACTCCGAGGCCTTGGGTGATGCCCTGCAGGTAACAGGTTCCTGCCTCCGAGGTCTGTGCAGATGCCAGCAGGATGGGACCCACGGATGGTTACCAAGTCCTGCTGGGAAGTTGTCCCCAACTTGGGGTCCTGCTGCTGGCCTATCTCTGTGGCGACCCCTTGCCTTCTTACTTCAGTTTACACATTGGATCCTACGTGTGAGCATCCCACCCCATACGTACGTGGGGTGGTAAGGAGGCCCCCCTCCCCTCCCTGTTGCAGGTGGCCGTGAAGCTCAGTGGCTGGCGCTGGCGGGGGCGGCAGGCACTGCGTCTGTACTCGCAAAAGGAGCTGGGCACAGTGGTCGACATGGTGCTGGCATTGCTGGAGAAACTGGAGGAGGAGGAGAGTGTCCTGGTGGAGGCTGTGTGCCCACCTGCCCGGCTGCCCTTCCCAGGTGAGAGCCACCTGGGCCAGCCAGGAGTGGGTGCCGGCTCAGCCTCCTGGCTGCTCTGTGCTGGGCTCAGGCTTCATGTCTTTCCCCAGGCAGCCCCCCACCTGGCCCTGAGCTGGCTGTGCGGATCTGTGCTGTGGTATGTCGGACACAGGGTGACAGGCCCTTGCTGAGCAAGGTGAGTGTGGCCCAGGTTCAGGTCCTGACCCTGCTGCCACAGCCCAGGCCAGCCCAACCCGGCCCAGCTCCAATGAGCTGCTGAGGGCCCCTGGGTAGAGAGAGGACAAAATCTTTGGGGGGAACCTTGATGGTGTCCTGGAGGACTCCTGGGTCTGAAGCTTTTTCCCTCCCCTTCCTGCACCCTTCCTCCATCAGGAGCTCGGATACTCCATACTAGGCACCAGGGCCCAGGACTGAATCCTATTCCCAAGGAGCTCTTGCCCACAGAAGGGGCTGACGGAGGGTCCCTGAACCTCCAGTGTCCAGGGCCCTTTAGGAGGGGGCCTCCAAGCTGGGGAACTTAGGGCAGCTTGAGGACCCTCCGGGGAGCATAGCTCTGAGCCAAGCGGGGTGGCACGGGCCCCCGGGGATCGCAGCAGCAAGTAGGCTTGGAGCCTTCAGGGAACAGAGACCCTAGCTGGGCCCGGAAGCCTGGGTAGACGCCCCTCAGGGTGTAAAGGACCAGATGGGCAGTGGCAGGGGAAAGTGGCTTGTGCGGGGTAAGTCACAAAGGAGGACTGGGCTACTTGAATGCGCAGTGAGAGGTCTGGCCTGGATCTCCGGGCACCGGGGTAGGAGTGCAGGGGCGGGGGTGGGGG